CAAAATATGATTGGAAACTTATTTCTTATGAAAATTAAATATTGATCGAAATCAATTTAAAATTTTGATAACGGTCATATGATATAAACCACCCAAACTGTCCAATTTCTTTTAACGTGCGAGGTATAATTATTCGATCATAACATTTTCTATAAAAAAATGAACATTCTTGCATGAAAATTTGATCATAATAAATGCATGTTATTCGATCATAACGATCATAACAAATGCAAGTTATTGACAAAAACAAAAACAAATGCAAGTTATTTGATCTAGAAAAAGATGGAGTCTATTTCTCTATTTTTTTTTTATATGTTCCTAAACAATGCTGTGGAAACAAAATTCAAAATTTTAGAAATATCTTCAAAATTAAATTAAAATATACATTTATATACTAAAATAAAATTTACTTATAGAATTAGAATATATATTGCTTAAATTAGAACTGAAAACAAAAAAACATGAATAATAAATTAAATATTATTAATAATGGTATAAGTAATCATGAAAACTAAATTTAATAATCGATCAAGTTGCTTGATGAAATGACACAATGTGAATATGTTATTGCTGACAGAAGAAAGATTACGCTAACTTTGATGATTTAAATAATTTATAACAAATACAATTTTTATGTAAAACCATAAAATGAGCCCGTGTACAATTTTAAATGATTACTTCGTATCTGCACTTCTCTTCTATATGTTGAAATGCTATTATTGATAATTGATTGCTTATTTTTTTTGGTCAAACCGATATTTCATTAAACTTAAAGAGTTTAACCTTCACTAAGGAAGGATATAATAAAGCCACAAATAGCTAAACAATCCAAAGTTACAATCAACATATTGATTAAACAAATGGTAAAATTAAAGCAACAACTACTCAAGTAGAGCCTTGGAGATAGAAGAGAACTCGAAAATTCAAGCAAAGTAGTAAACGACAAAGGACAAACAAGATCCTGATCGAACCACTAAGAGAGGGAATCAACACCTCCATGGTCGTTGAGGCCAAATAGACAATATCATCTATTGTTGAACGAGAAATGATTAGAGTCCTCACTTACACTCCAAACAGATTCGCCTTCAACATTATGCGCCCTATGTCACTAATCACAAGTGATAAAATTGGGAGGAAAACAAACTCCATAAAGGAGAAGATATGGCATTGAGAGCCTGAAATTATGAGTTTGGGAGGGGGATGAGATACAATATAATTTTCAAAACTTTAATGTCCGCGAAAGATTAATGATTAGTTCATGTTCCACCACTTACTGATGAGATTTATTATTTTGGTTATTACTTGGGTTTGTTAGATGTCCAACCTGTTTCGAAGATATTCGAACTGTTCATAGAGTAGTATATTCTGCGTTTATTGATGCATCTTCTGCATTTGGTTTGCTCAAAACTGTTTTATGGTCTTCTAAAAGTGTGATGGATGACTACATATCCATTCTTTCAAATATTGTCGCTGAGGGTGAATGTAAGAGGATTATTGATGCTGTCCGTCGTGGTTTGGCATGTCGTGGTTTGGAATATGGTTATTTCCTTGAGTTATAAAATATTATATATTTTCTTATTAATTATTTCGGTATTTAGTTGTTTTAATGTTATCTTGTTTTGTTGTAATAACTTTAGATTCTCATGATTTAATAATTTTGTTTTTATAATTTATAAAGCTATATTTTGTTTCTTGTATTTTAAATATATTACATTTTTATCTACTAATTAATCAAATCTCAAATATGATATATAAGTCTTTTTCAATAATATTATCCCGCGCAGGCGCGGGTACCACACTAGTTTTTTTAGTATGATGGGAGCCAGAATTTTTGTAATCAAATGTTGGTGAATTTTAGTTGAAATTGACCCAAAAATAAATAAATAAAAAAACCAAAGAAACAAGTCGAATTCAAAAAAGAAAATCTCATTTTTTGATTGGGTGAATCGCAAAAATAACCAAATTTTTTTTTTTTAAAGTAACAAAATTAGTATATGTGGCAACATATTAACTCTTCAATTTAGGTTAAATGGTTAGAGCATATCAATGGAAGAACTTAAGGGTTGCTTAAAAATTAAAAATAATTAAATAATAAACACATTTTCTTAGCAACAAAGTTGCTTATTTAAGAGATTTTAGCAACCCAAAATATGAGTTGCTAAGAAATTAAAAACAATTTATAATAAAAAAATTATTAAGCAACCCTACTTAATTCCTCTCATTGATCATGCTCTTAGAGATTATAGTATAATTTTTTTTATGGCTATTGTATTATATTTCCCTTCTTTGATTCCTTGATGTGTAAACTCTCCATAACGATACGTTGAGTTTTAAAAAGAAAAAAAATTGACCATATTTTAGAAATAAGGAGACCGACCAATGGAGTCGAAATTGGGGGTTTAGAGTAGAAAGAGAAACGAACGAGGCAAATGGTGGTAATTGGAAAATCCAGTGAGAAGAGTCGTCTGGTCGTCTCGGAAGTGTAGCGATTTACCCAAAAGCACCGTTTTTTTACCGGCGGTGGTGAATTTGACGCCGACCAATCTCTCTCTCTCTCTCCCACACGCGCCGACGTCAATTCCCCTCTCTGTATTGCGTTTCTCCATGTACCCCTCTCTCTCTCTTGTTTGCACTTAGGGTTAGGGTTTTCTTCTCTCCATCTTCTTGCTTTATCATTGATTCAATGTGAAAAGCTTTCCTCTTTCGCAGTTTCCGATGTTTGGTCGGCATTCCCAATCGGTGATTGGTAGCGGCTCTGTTCCCGCTGATGAAGCTCCTGTCTCTGCCTCCGCAACGTCCGGTAACATTCCTTACGAAGATATAGACGAAATCCCTCACCCCCACTCCCTCTATGTTAACGGTTCTGCCTCCGATTTGATTCCCGATGGCTCTCAATTGGTGCCTCACCGATCCGAATTACTTGTTTCCCGTCCCCCGAATCAGCTTACGATCTCGTTCCGGGGACAGGTTTACGTTTTTGATGCCGTTGCTCCTGACAAGGTATTCTTCTTCCCCCTTTGTTATTGCTGGGGATAATTCTGAGCACCAAACTTCTGGAAATCGATTTCGTAGGTTGATGCTGTCTTGTCGCTATTGAGTGGTTCTACCGAGCTCTCTGCTGGTCCGCAGGTGATGGAACTAGCTCACCAGAATCATATGGTAAATTTAAGTCACATTCTGCCCAATGGTCACTTCTTCTATGTCCTTGTTTTCGTTGTGATTTTGGTCTTCTTTTTAGCCTGTTGTAGAATACCAGAACCGCTGTAGCCTTCCACAACGGGCACAATCCTTGGATAGGTTTCGGAAGAAGAGGAATGCTAGATGTTTCGAGAAGAAAGTAAGATATGGTGTTCGCCAGGAAGTGGCGTTAAGGTCAGGGGATTTATTCGCTTGTTATCATTCTAGATTTAAAATGCTACACATTTGATTCAGTCTTGAGTTTTATCAATTTATGCAGAAACTTGTTACAAACCCACATAGTTTATCACAAGAGCTTAGAAAAATTCTTTGGCCTAGGGGCACCCTCAGTATTGTGCTAGCTTTTGTTAAAGGGGGGAACTTAACAAAATCCTTGAAAGCTTGAGTAATATGTATAAATCTCACATCTGTCAGGAAAGTGGATTATTTGATGGCTACTCCTTTTGAAGAAGCTGGACATATTTCTTTCTCATTTCCTCGGATCAATAATGTAGTATTCTTGTATAGCAATGACCTGGTTTGTTAATACTTCCTTATCTTTGTGTGCTATGCATTAAAAGAAAACCTGCCCCTATTCAACTACATTCTGTTAACTGGGAATAATAGACAGGTCTGTGTCATCCAGAAGAGATAGTATTTTTCACCTTTTCTAGAAGTCTGACCTTATTTAGTCTTTAACAGAATGGCACGTAACAAAGGTCAATTTACCTCTTCAAAGATGACAGATGGGGCTTATAACTCGTGCACTGATCAAGATTCTGCACAAGATGATGGTCATCCAGAAATATCGTGCGTTAGACTCTGCCACTTTAACTGCTTCTGCACTTCGTGTTCTCCATGATTCATCTATTTTTTTCTTGCTTTTATTTTAAACGTGAGTTTCTTATGTAGGTGTACCCATTGTGGCATTAGTTCCAAATGTACACCAATGATGCGTCGTGGCCCTTCGGGACCCAGGTCTCTCTGCAATGCCTGTGGACTTTTTTGGTCTAACAGGGTAAGTGATAATGCATCATCACCTATACTCTCTACTCGTATTGTTTTCACATATATCATATTCTCACTGTGCTCAGATTATTGTACTGGTATAGTCAAGGTGACGTTTTAAATTGTTCAAATCTTGTAGGGTACATTGAGGGATCTTTTCAAGAAAACAGAAGAGAATCAGTTGGCTGTAATAAAACCTGTAAGCTGTTATAGTTTGTTTGTCCTGTGTTTCTTGTTGATTTACAGATAAAGTTAAGCTTTATTCATTGCTTAATGTAGGGCGAGGGAGGGAGTGATGCCGATGCTGGACCTGCAACTGTTGAAGAACACACTGTCTTGGATTCTCTTGCTAATGGGGGAAAAATCTAATATGTTAGTTAATCACTAAATACTGTGATAAGAATCAGAAAAAGAAAAACAGAGATAGAAATCCTCGTTGGTCTTCTCTATGGATTTCTCTTTTCGCTGTCACATGTAACATAGAAACTATAACCGAACCTCAGTCGATTACCATATCAATGTCTATGGTTTCTGAATTTGATCATTGGAATAGTGTTGTTACTGTGTTTGCAACCATATCCAGGTTTGTGAGAGTATGTACATCCAAATATTTGGTAAGTGGTAATTGTCCCATCATTCATCAGCCGTTTCACCATCCATACTTGTCTATTCAAAAATTTTGAGGCTTTCTTTTTGTTCGTAGTGTTTCAAATTGGTTAGAAAAGAAGATTTGAGGAAGTGGACACGCTCTTTTTTGCCAAAGTTGACAAGAGGAAAAATTGCAAATGAAAAAAAAATTATATTATATATAGTTCCGATTAAAGATTCCTAAATGTTTATTTTCTGTGGCGTTTTGGGTAAGAATCCCAAAACTGGGTAGCTTCACTATAGTAATTTACTGATCCAGAACAAATATAGATGATGGGGATTACATATTAAAATGAAAAAGAATTGAAGTGAAGAATGGAGTGGGTCAATCAGCAAAACAAGAGAATCAGGGGGCAGCTAAAGCTACTTTACACATGCAATCGGGAGCTGGATAAGTGTAAATAGACTGCTTCTGCTTGCGTAGACGAAGCTGGCCTTGCCTATTCTTGTGCGCATTCAAGACAGCTCCTTCAAACTCAGACCACTCTAAGCTCTTGTTCACTAAAAGCTGCCCTAACAGTATCATGTTGGGCCTTATGGTCTTTAGATTCAAGTAAGCTCTATGTGCCAGCAATGCGTTGTGCATATTCCCGGGAGATGCAGAAATGAAGATATCGCTCTTCATACTCACGTAGTAATCAACTGCAGCCATTAGAGAAGCTTTCCCTTCTACATCAGCCAGCTCCTCCACAGAGGCTAAGCTTTTCTTGTTTTCCATTACTGGAAACAGTTTACGCAGAGTTGAGATTCTTGCTTCTCCTCCGTAAACCTGGTGTGAAGCTAGATAGAGACGGGTGTTGTTACTGAAACCCAAAGCTGAAAGCAGTAAACCAATCTCTTCTGGTGTCAACGGGCAACGTCCTTTGTTTCTTAGCTCCTCATCTGTGAGCAAGGAATTCAAGACCCTTCCTTGCCAAATCACTTGGCGGTATTTTGCCAGGGCAAGTTTTTCTGCTTTACCACCTCCAAAGTCACATCCTGAATGAGCAGCCATGTCCTGGGCAAAGATGAAAGAGATGTCAGAAGCAGAAAATTACTGCCAGGAAATGGACACTTTATTAGGATGAAGATCACACTTTATCGAAACGAAGATGCAGCACAACAAACTTTCCAGCTCCAGCTTTTATGATGGTATTTATTCTGTCTGTTGTATCCATTGTTCCAGATGTCTGAGAGGTGGAAGGAGGAGATCTGAGTCGGTGCACAAGAGCGTCCCCTAGCTTCCGTATATGAGGAACAAAGTTTAATGCTTCAAAATTTACTTTACAGCGTAACCGCTGTATACTTTCAGGCAAATTGTCAAATGCCAAACGGTGAGAGAACGGGGCAACAGCAGCGATTCCATAACTGCAGAAAAATGAGAAGATGATTCACCATAGTAACAATGCATTGAACTACAGCAAAAGCCAAAAAAACAAGTGGTATGGCAAAAAATCATTGTGACTTCACAGGAAAACATTTGTATCACGTTCCAACTGCCATAATTTGTCTATAAGGCATTTCAAACATCATATATTCCAGAAAACTTAACAATGCATTTCTTCATCAGTGAAGACCACTGGGTTAAGAAGCACAAACCTCTGAATAACAGGCAAGACATTTTCCACATACCACTCTGCTGAAGCGTGACCAGGCGCAGTCTTAATCCTAGTAGCTCGAATACCTGTGGCATAATAATCACGTGTGCTCCAGGCGTACTCTGTTGGCAGCTCTCTAACAATATGCACCTCGTCTTTAAGGATACTTAAAAAGTGGTCCACATCAAATATATCTGCGAATGAACTGCAAAGAAATGCCACCGCATGAATCACCGAATTCGGTGAC